CCGCTGGCTGGTTCCCCCCCTCCAGCCAGCCCCGCTCCCCCCAGCCCTTTCTTGGCCAGTCCCGCTCCCCTCCCGGCCGGTCCTCCCCACCCCCAATCTGAGATCAAGTGTGTCTGGATTTTTTTCAAACCATCTGGTAACCCTATTTACTTTGCTTGCTAATAGGCAGGGATTCCTCTCATTCCCAGGGATTCTGTTCCTTTATGAATCACAAAGAAGAAATAAAACAAAGGCTGAACAGTCTCAGTACAACTGAATGGCTTTATGCTGGACATGCTGACACCATTCTAAATGCTGATGTAAAGCACCTGTGGATTTTAGATATTTTATATATGTTCTGCAAAACATCTCAGCTAAATACGTCCCCATAATTCAGTTGGGGAATTTGTGTGTTGTGCTATTTTGTATGTGATTAAAATATGCATCAGTAATACATAGGTAAGCCAAGCTTTATACTCTGTGTAAGGTAATAATACTTTAGCAGCCCAACCTTGATTACATATTTAATTTTGATTTTTGCTAGCAACATCTTATGAATTATTTGCTTATTGGTTTAAGGGGGGAAATTCTTGCAAACCTTATTCTTGCAAACCAAATTTTTCTCCACAGTGGAATAGAACAAACAAGGGTCTCCTTAGATAAGTTATCAATACTAATTCCTACAGTACCAGGCAGCTTTATAGGACAAACAGGGAAATCAACATTGTACCACAATTTGTATCCTAGGCTACATCTAGACTGGAGGCTTCTTTTCAAAGAAACTTTTCTAGAAGAGATCTTCTGAAAAAACTTCTTCCGAAAGAGAGCGTCCACCCAGTCAAAGCACATTGAAAAAACGATCTGCTTTTTCGAAAGATAGCATCCACATTGAATGGACTCTCTCTCAGATTTAAGCTGTGATTACTGTGGACGGAGTGACCACCAGGACACCTGTGCTTTTTCGTCTTTCCTATTCTTTCAAAAGAACTCCCTTTTCCCAGTCCACACCCACCTTTTTCTGAAAGAGCTCTTGTAGAAAGAGGTTTACCAATGTTAGGAAAACCCCTCTGTTCTTTCGATTTGTTTTCGAAAGAACGTGATTGCAGTGTGGATGTAAGTAAAGTTTTTTTTGGAAAAACAGCTATTTTTCTAAAAACTCTGTGGGTATAGACATAGCCTTACTGTGAGGCTATATCTAGACTGCAAGCCTCTTTCGAAAGATACTTTTGAAAAAGAGCATCTAGACTACAACCAGTACTTCTGAAAAAGCAAGCCGCTTTTTCGAAAGAGAGCACTCAGGCAGTCTGCATGCTCTCTTTTGAAAAAGCACAGTTTGCATTACATAGCACCTTTTTTCGAAAGAGCACTTTCGAAAAAAGGCATTATTCTTCGTAAAACAAGGTTTACCACAGTCGAAAAAACTGCTGCATTTTTTCTATTTACTTTTGAAAGAATGTGGCAGTAGTCTAGACACAGGTAAAGTTGTTTTAAAAAGAGGCCACTTTTTTTTCGAAAAAAGCCTGCAGACTAGACACACTCTTAGAAGTATTTGAAAAACAGATACGTCTTGTCTAACTACAGAATCATCAATCACACCTAAAGTTTCATTAGAAACAAGCCATATAAAGTCTTGAGGCAGGATTCCCTTTCTTTGTATTCAAATTGGATGAAATATTAATAAAATGTGTCAGAAAAATTTTGCTGAAATGAAATTTTAACAAAATCAAGAGGGGAGAAAATGTTCAACATATTTGGGGTTTCTTTCTGTTTTCTGAACAGTTCTCACCATTCATGTGATCAGGGTGGGGGGCAACAGATGTGCCAAGCCCCTGGGTAGGGCTGGATTACCCAATAGGCAGACTAAGCATGTGCTTAGGGCACCAGCGAAGCAGAGGCACCAAAAAAAAAAAAAAAGATATTGTATGGGATAGTATTGTTTTTATTTTGAATTACATATGGGGGCGGGCATAATCTTTTCAGTGCTTAGGGCCTCTAAAGGTCTTAATCGGTCCTGCCCCCGGGCAAAGTGAGAGTGTGTGGCTCCAAGAATAGGCAGGGCCTCAGACAAAAGGGGTGGGACTGGAGGCAGCCAGCCCTCAGCTTCACTTGGACCATGCTACACCTCCCCTCCTGGTATAGCCATTAGCACTGCCTGTAGAATCCTGCATGGTGCTCTGGCAGCAATCTAAGGGTATGTCTAAACTACATGGCTCCGTCGACGGAGCCATGTAAACTAGTTTACCCGGCAAAAAAGCGGGGATTTAAATAATCCCCGCGTCATTAAAATAAACATGGCCGCTGCGCTGTGCCGACGATCAGCTGATCTGACACAGCGCGGTAGTCTAGACGCGGATCAGTTGGCTGGGGAAGTCTTTGCTGATTGATCCCTTATGCCTCGTGAAACCTGGTTCCTCCACAGGAGGGAGCCCATGCTGATATTACAGCTTTATGGCCCCAAGCAAGATTGAAATGCCAGTGCCTGCTACCTGCCAGAGGGAAAGGAAGATGGGGGGAAGAAAGCCTCAGTCTCCCCACCAGATCTGGTGTGTGGGGAACAAGCAGAGCCAAAAATGTCTCCACATGCTGCCATTTTCCTTCCATCAGCTGGGGTTAATTCCTCACTGGGATGCACTTTCTGGAGGCTTCCCCTTTGCTCCCATTGGCCAAAATCTGGTGAATGGGAGCAACGTGAGGATATGTTACATGATGCCTGCAACATGGCATGAAAGCAAGTAAGTGGCCCCTCCACCCCTATGACCACACCCCACACTCCCAGTCCCCTCACTCATCCCCCTCTGAGGTGCCACACTCCCACCCGACTCTTTTCCCCTCCCCCCTTGCCAGACACTCTACCCCTAGCCCGCTCCTGCTTTTTCCCCTGCTCCTGCCCCTCTCCACTGCCCCCAGTCTGCTCCTGCACCCTATCCTACTCCTCCCCCACTTGGCCAGGTACCTTGCCCTCAGCCTGCTCCTGCCCCCTCCTCCCAGCCTGCTTCTGCATCTTCCCTTGCTACTGTACCCTTTCCCCTGCCCTCAGCCTGCTTCTGCTCTCTTCCCCTGGCCATACACCTTGCCCCCAGACTGGTTCTGCACCCTAGCCTGTTCCTGCCTCCTCCCCACAGCCAGACACCCTGCCCCCAGCCCGCTCCTGCCTCCTCCCCTGGGCCAGACAGCCTACTCCCAGTCTGCTCCTGCACTCTACCTCCCACCCAGACCTCGCACCTTTACCCCCTCCTGAATCCCACCTACCGACTAGATCCTGCACCCCCATCTCTATCCCACTCACTGGCAGCCCTGTCACACACTCTTAACCTCAAAATCTAATCCTGGAACCCCAGAAGAGTAAATTTGGCCTGAAGCCTTGAACCTCAGTCCCCCGTCCACTCCCTGACCATGGGAAGTGAGGTGTTTCAGTTGGGGGCCAAATCAGTAAGGGTTAGGAGGTTTTGGAGGGGGTTTTTTGTTGTTGTTTTGTTTTATTTTGGTTTTGCTTCTCTCTTATGTGGTACCCCACTTATTTGGCCTCTGACCCCAAAAAAGGTTCCCCACTCCTGTCATAAATAAAGACAATGTTGAAACCTTTTGTGTGGGACACAATATTATACTTTTTTAAAAATGAAGGCTGGCCAACAAGCCCCAAATTGGGGCCCAGCCTCCATCTGGCTACAGTGTCATAACACTCCTGCAGGCCCCCCCCCCCACACACCAACCTTGAGGCCATCATACACCTGAACAACCTGCCCTGAGCCCCTCATACCACTATATCCCCAAACTCCTGCACCCCCACATCCCCACACTCCTTCACCCCCAGCTCCCTGCCATAACATACTGGTATCCCCACACACACCCCAACCTTGAGGTGTTCTGAGCCCACCATATACCCAAATCCATTGCCCTAAGCCCCTCATACAGCCCAGCTCAGACTCCTGCACCCCCACATTCCCAGCCCCCTGCCATAAGATTGACAGAAGATAGCCTGAATTGCTGCATGAAGCTGGATTTGACCAGTTATGATGTAAACTTCAAAGAAATGTGTGAAAAGATGTGGCAGCAGAAGTCCCATTAAATAAAGCCTGGGAATACAATGTTTTATTTATGCTATTATTATAAATTATGTCAGTTATTAATAATATTAAGTTGTATCTTTTCAATCATACAAATGGGCATTCTTATGTGGTCTTTGTTGGACACGTCTTCTGAAGTTTGATGTGGTTTGGCTTTTTGGTTTGAAAAGGTTGCCGAGCCCTGGAAATAAGGTATTGCAGTCTCTTCTAACCTCAGCCACCAGCAGAGGTGAGCAAGCCCACCTCTCCCAGGGTATGTCTACACTACCCCGCTAGTTCGAACTAGCGGGGTAGTGTAGACATACCCCCAGTGGGATTCTGGCCACCGGGCTACCGTCGCCACCCTCTCAAAGGTGGCGAGGTATGCCTCAGGATCGTCAGCCGGCCCCATCTTAGTTAGCCGTATGGGCAGGCGTACCACCTCCCCCTCTCCTGCTGGCCCCTCCTCTTCGGGGCACGCTGGACTCAGGGGGGTCACCATTGCCGGTGGATATCGTCTCATCCACTCTTCCTGTTGCGCCTTCATTTGCTCGGCTACCTCCCGGATCAGTTGTTTTTGCTGCTCTTGTTGCTGGGTGGTGAGCTGCTGGATTAAGGCTGACTGCTGCTGTTGGTTTTGCCTTTGGGTCTCCTTAACCCACTCCATGAATTGCGCCGGATCCATGGCGTGTCCCGGTGCAGTTCTCACTCCCCTTTTTCCGAAAAACACCACAAAACACCCCCCTGTTAGTGCTCCCTAAGCCTTCTCACACCCCCTTTCCTTTCCTGGGGGGGGGCTGGGTTCTCCAAAGGGGATCTATGCGCCCCCATATGCCCAGCAGATGCGCTTTCAGTTATCCCCATCAAGGTTTCAGTCAGAAAGCAGAGGAGCCAAAAATGCAATTCTCTTGCCCCATAGGTCACCGTTATACTTATTGAAAGGCCTTTTACCCAGTGTTCCTTTCCTATATTCTGTAACCAGATCTTAGCTAAAATGTCCTTTTATCTTCATGCTGTCTAGGTTTTCTCCCACTGGCCCTCCTTCCTCCCTGCGCAGGTTTTCTGTGCTTGCCTTCTCCAGAGAGCAAAATAGACATGCCGTGGGCTAGCCTAACTTGCCATGTATCCTTTTCCCTCCACCAGCCCTCACTTGCAAATCTCTATTAGGAAAATCCTGGGCCACAATCACAATGCAGAAAAAATAAGTTCATACTCCAATAAATAGGGAAAGCATAGCTGCCTTATGAAGCCTTCGAACATTTATCTCAAAATGCTTTGAGCATTTAAAGCACAGCACATACTCCTATACTTATACAGACAATTCCAGCCATGACTTAGCAATACCTTTTAAAACCTGTTTATTCTCTTAAATGAACAGCAGAGCTGGATTAAAGTGTTTGGAAAGATACTACACACAGTGTTAGCATGGAACTTTTTGTCAGCCTGTCTATCTTTTTTATATTAACACCCTGCAATGCTGCTGCTGCTTCCACCCCCCCTCTCCCATGATGAAGAATTTCCCTTAGAGAAACTGCAGTAACAAAGATTCCACTTGCTATTTACTCTTTTAGATCCCAGGAACTTCATCAGTAGTTCAAAGAAAATGGAAGCCTCTTCCATCTTTAGCACAGCCCCGGGGCCTGGGACAATCAGCCAAGGCAAGGATTAATGGAGTTTCAGCAGAAATAAAACAGATTCGAGCCAGGAGGAAAACAGCACGCATGCTAATGGTGGTTCTCTTGGTTTTTGCACTTTGTTATCTACCAATTAGTATCCTCAATGTCTTAAAAAGGTAAAGTCTGTCCACAAGCAGGAAAGAGTTTGGGGGAAGTTTTCTGTCTAAAAGCATTTCTCTCTGACAGTAGTTTTGAAATATATATACCTATATATCTTATGGTAAAGAAACTGAAGATTGTTGTATAGTTTTAAGCAAATTGTTAGCTAAACACTTATTAGGAAAGAAATTTTAGGCCAGATTGTAAAATCCATGTTCATGTTGGCAGTCATTTATTCAGGCGATAGGACTCCAGAAGTGTGCCACACTGGGGGAGGAGAAATAGGATTCAATGGGACTTCCCTGACATGTAGCCTGACTGTAACTTTGCATAGCAACATTGGGCCCAGAAGATTTTGTTCACATATTAATAACTGCTACTTATATAACCATACAGATTTACCAAAATCAGGGAAGCAAGCAAGGTTTGTTGGTTATCAAAAGCGAATATATGAAGTTTTCCAATTCTTTCAAGTTTGGAAGACATACCCAGAATAAATCTAACAAAAGTCAAAACATCTTTTTTATGAAGACTTATTGTATTGATATCAGAGTAATCAGTGACTCGGTAAATAATAGGCAAATAAACACATTATATGTGTGATTATGTCTGGCAAACATGTTCAGTAAACACTGTGTTTATCAGCTCTCTCTCTCTCACACTCACACACACACTAACGCGTGCATGCGTGTGTGTGCCATCTGCCCTTCAATGACATTTATAACTGCAAAGCTGATGAGCATAGTGTCACTATCTTGCCACGTTACATTAAGTAAAATGTAACTAAAGAGAACTGATTGCATTATCCTGACCAACACTAGATGTACAAGCAGAATGAGATAATCTTTTATTGGACCAGCTGCTGTTGGTGAGAGGGGCAAGCTTTTGACCTTATATGGAGCCTTTCTTCAGCTCTGTGTACCCTCAAAAGTGTGCCTCTCTCACCAAAAGAAGTCGTCCCAATAAAAGATATTGCCTCACCTATCTTCTTTCTCCAGTATCCTGGGATCAATACAGTTATCACCTGAAAGTCCTCTGCCTACCTGAAAGTCCTCTGGCAAATGTCAGATGGATGAGTGTCACTTCTCTGTTTTCTGTTTTCTGATCTCATATTGTTATATTGCAATGTATTGGAGTTATCAAATACAATATAATCAAAAAGTTAACATGGACATTTCTTATGTAATCCTAGGAGTAAAATGCAACCAGCCTCTCCTGCACAAGGACATTAGGGGTATGTCTACACTACAGCATTAATTCAAACTAACTTAATTCAAATTAGTTAATTCGAAATAAGGTAATTCGAATTAGTACATCTAGACCCAAAAACTAATTTGAATTAGCATTTTGCTAATTCAAAATAGCGTGTCCACACTGATTGGACGCATGGTCACATTTAAGGGCAGCTGAAACCGGTTCCGGCAGGGCATCAGGTCAGTAGTTGCTTTCTGTGGCTGCTGTCTGAGGCTATCTGAGGCTCGTGCTTAAAGGGCCGTTTCTCAGCTTTTCCGCTTGCTTGCCTACCTCGCCGAGGGACAGCAAAGTGTTTTCCTCTCCACCTGCCTGTGTTGGTGGTTCCCATTGGACTAAGGTGCCTCCTCACCCACTTCGACCTCGCCGAGCACAATATCTCTCCCATGGTGGCAGCATGTTTTGTGCTGTACAATTTATGCGAACAGAAGGGGGAGGCTTTCCTGCCAGCCTGGGTGGCTGAGGCTGACCACATGGATGGCCAGTACGCTCAGCCCTGCACCGCCGCTGTCTGGAAGGCCCAGCGTGGGGCCGTCCAGATCTAGAAAGCCAAACGGGAGAGCTTCCAGGTGGAGGAGGAGGACTGAACTCTCCCTGCATGCCCCACTGGGGCCTTCTTCCACCCTCCCGTCTCACAGCACTGCGGGTGCAGAGGCGTCGGGGGGGGGGAGG